TTATCCACCTGGCCATGCCGGGCTGTTCTGATCCGAGGTTAAAATTAAAATAAATTAACTGAGGTTTATGTATGCGTCACAATTAAACATAGGTAAATCCTTTTTATAATAACCATTTTAACCCTATTATCTAACATAAAACAGACGTACTATCATTTGGATCCTTCACTTTAAAGAACGTATCGAACTGGCTAAAAATTTGAAGGTGTGAACAGCCATGACCTTCTGAAGCGTATTTAGTTACCTAGCTCAACGGAAATATCAATAATTTGTCCTGACCAGAACGGTTCAGAAAAGATGATTTGTTCACATGAACGAAACTTCTGGTGAAGCTAACATGTTGAGACACATTTGTGACCAATCCCGATCAAGCTGAGTTCGCAGTCCCTCAAGATGTAAACCACCAATCAGGTCATTTTATTTTTGTTAGATAAGTTACTATTGTGTACGTTTTCTGGAAACGATATTTTTTGCCTAGAGTTTCATACAATGAAATTGACGTTTTAACTTCCTGATCAAGGGGGTTAATGACATTCCAGGTCAGAGCAAATGTCATGATTCTTAACATTTTATTTTGCTAATTGTACTTAAAAATTATTTTTCTTGATGTATAATTAGACTGAAAAACCGAACATAACATTTCGTTCTCATTATTTTGTCTTTCCTTGGCTTGATTTTAACTTCTTTTTACTACTTATATTTCCCCAGTTGTTCAGCGGTAAGTCAGGAGGCTCATAACGCTAAATACACAGTTCCGATACCCGTGATAGATGCAGTATAAATAGCCCATTGTGTAGCTTTGTACTTAATAATAAACAACAGGTATTTACAATTTCAAAATTAATTGTGCGACAATGTTTGCCACACTTCAAGGCGTATGGAAAATATGTAGTAAAATCTCAAAGATGATATAGATGTCTTCAAATTCGATGACGAGGAACCCACTTTGAGACTAATAATGGCTGGAGACGGCTTGAATGGGGTAATGAAGAAAAACTTTATATAAGTTTAACATAACAGCAAATGTACGACGTTTTGACAAGGGTACCTGATGATGACAAAACCTTGTCGAAACGTTTTACATTTGCGGTTATGTTAAACATATATTAAAGTTTTTCTTCATTA